GAGCCATCAGCCCAGAGCCCGACGCGGGGCTCGAACTCACGGACCGCGAGATCGTGACCTGGCTGAAGTCGGACGCTTAACCGACTGCGCCACCCAGGCGCCCCTCACCTTGTCTTTTAAAAAAAATTTTTAATGTTTATTTTTGAGAGAAAGAGAGGGTGCAAGCAGGGGATGGGCAGAGAGACACAGAATCCGGAGCAGGCTCCAGGCTCTGAGCTGTCAGCACAGTGCCTGACATGGGGCCTGAATCCATGAAACATTAGATCATGACCTGAGCTGAAGTCTGATGCTTAACTCACTGAGCCACCCAGGTGCCCCAGGATTTCACCTTTTCATATGCCCACTGGCAACGGTTAGAGTTCCACTTGTTCCACATACTCACCAATGCTTCGTAGTGTCACTTTTTAAAATTTTTGCCAGATTCATGGGTAGGAAATGGTATTTCATTGTGATGTTTGCTGTTCTCTTGTTGGTGAGGTTCAGCATCTTTTCATAGTTTCAAGCATTTGTGTTTTCTCTCCCTGAATTAAGTTCCCACTTCTTCCATGCATTGTTCTCTAGGGTTGTCTTTTTCTTACTGGTTTGTAGAAGTTCTTTACATAAATTTAACACTAATCTTTTATTAGGAATATATGCTTTCCAAGTTGTGACTTACCTTTTACTTTGTTTATGATGTCTTTTGACACAAAGAAGGATTTTTTTAAATGTATTTTCCAATCTAGATTCCTTTTATTCCTCTTTCTTGCCAATTACCTTGGCCAGAACCTCCATTATAATGTTGAATAGAACTGGTGAGAACAGACATCCTTGCCCTGTTCTAATCTTAGGGATAAAGCATTCAGTTTTTTACCAAGAGGTATGATATTACCTGTGGATGTAGATGTCCTTTGTCAGGTTGAGGATATTGCCTTCTATTCCAAGTTTGGTGAGAGTTGTGTTTTGTTTTAAAATTTTTTTAATTTTAGAGGTCCCTGGGTGGCTCAGTCGGTTGAGCGACCGACTTGGGCTCAGGTCATGATCTCACGGTTTGTGGGTTCGAGCCCGGCGTCGGACTGTGCTGACAGCTCAGAGCCTAGAGCCTGCTTCGGATTCTGTGTCTCCCTCTCTCTCTGCCCCTCCCCCACTCATGCTCTGTCTCTGTCTCAGAAATAAACATTAAAAAATTTTTTTAGTTTAATTTTTTTTAAGGTCTATTCATTTTTCAGAGACATAGAGAGATAGAGCATGAGTACAGGGGAAGGGGCAGAGAGAGAAGGAGACACAGAATCCAAAGCAGGCTCCAAGCTCTGAGCTGTCAGCACAAAGCCCGACACAGGGCTCGAACCCACAAACTGCGAGATCATGACCTGAGTTGAAGTCAGACACTTAACCGACTGAGCCACTCAGGCACCCCTGTTTTTTAAATCAGGAATGATTGTTGGATTTTGTCAGTTTTTCTACATGTATTGAGATAATCATACACTTTTCTTTTTAGCTTGTTAATATAGTGAAGTATATTTATTGATTTTGATTAAATCAACCCTGAATTCTTGAGATAACCCCACATGGTCATGACTTTTTAAATTTTTTTAATTTTACTTTTTTTAACATTTGTTCATTTTTGAGAGACAGAGACAGAACATGAGTGGGGGAGGGACAGAGAGAGAGGGAGACATAGAATCTGAAGCAGGCTCCAGGCTCTCAGCTGTCAGTACAGAGCCCAACGCAGAGCCCGAACTCACAAACCATGAGATCATTACCTGAAGTCGGACGCTTGACTGACTTAGACACGCAGACTCCCCTTTTTTTTTTTTCTTTAGTGTTCATTTACTTATCTTTGAGAGAGAGCATGTGTGCACGCAGGGGAGGGGCAGAGAGGGAGACAGAGAATCCGAAGCAGGACTTCTGCTAACTAAAGCCTGATGTGGGGCTCAAGCTGATGAAACATGAGATTATTACCTGAGCCGAAGTCAGACACTCAACTGACTGAGCCACCCAGGGGTCCCAAGACTTTTTTTTTAATGTTTATTTTTGAGAGAGAGAGAGTGCAGGGGAGGGGCAGAAAGAAAGGGAGAC